CTAATCATTTGTTCTCCAAGCAGTCATGACTTATTTGTGGGGCATTCCCGATAGATCGACCACAAAAACTTAAAATTTACACCCGCATATTTATTTTTGCTAAAAAGTGGTCTAAGGGTTGTGCTGGGCGGGGAACCCAGCTGTGGCAAGGATTTTTTTTCTTCGAACAACGGTTTCGAGATATAGCCTCGGGAGTTCCTGGAGGTCACGCTGCAACCCTATGTTTGGCAGCTTATAACTCAGAAACTATTGGTTTTTATGGTAAAAAACTTGATATGGTTCAAGTTGCAATCAACCAGCGAACGTTTTGGCTATCGGATTTTGATTTTTGAAAATTTGATCACGGACATCTTGATCTTTTTTTCGAAGAGTGACCTTGATATTTTCCCAACCGAAAGTCGCAATTTGTCTGATGACGATTAAAGCCTTATCAATTGTCATTCATATGCGATAATAAAAAAGTGGCTTTCGGCCTGCGTTGACCTCAGTTCAGGTCATTTTTATGACCTGTCCATTATTACGAGCGGGAGCTACAGCGAGATCTCGAGAACAAAGCAAGATAGCGACAAGCGGTAAACGGCACATGGTACACATGGATAAGGTCTACAATTTTTACTCAGGTCATTTTCAGGTCAGGTCAAAGATGACGTCACAGGGGTAAAAAGAAAGTCTAAATGGCGGCACTACATATATATTAAGTTTTTCTCGAATAACTTTCGAAGTATTCCAGCTAGGAACAAACTAATAGCACCATCGTGATCCTCTCGTCGATCCGCATCGAAACATGTGTATGTTGACCTCGAAAGGTCAAGGTCAAAAGTTGACCTTAGGTCACGTGACTTTAAGGCCATCATATATATCATTCGATGGGCCTTGACAGCTGAACACAATGAGCCTATCCGCGCGGCTGTATCTCAAACCTGTAAGGAGTTATTAGCAAAAAACATTTGGTGACCTTTAATGACGTCACATGACCCAAGAGCAACGTCACAGTTGACCAAGAGCAAAAAAGGTCTCAAGGTAGTCAAAGTTAGTCGCATATGGAGTCACTCATGGTATATTAGGCAATTCCGACGCGTTTTAGTGTAAAAATAAGGGAGCTGATTTTTCCCCAATTGACTTGTAATGGGGTGGTCAAGAAATTGACCTGATCTCAGGTCATCGGTATCGAAATTCAAAACAAACTGGCGCTAGGCGAAAGCAAACGGGTTGGTGCCTATTCTACGTCTCTTTCTTTATTAGATCAAAAGGTACAGCCAAAACTATTTTGACTTCCTTTTTACCCCTGTGACGTCATCTTTGACCTGACCTGAAAATGACCTCAGTAAAAATTGTAGACCTTATCCGTGTGAATCCTGTATCGTTTACCACTTGTCGCTATCTTGCTTTAGTCTCGAGATCTCGCTGTCGCTCCCGCTCGTAATAATGGACAGGTCATAAAAATGACCTGATCTCAGGTCAATGCAGGCCGAAAGCCACTTTTTTATTGTCGCATATGAATGACAATTGATAAGGCTTTAATCGTCATCAGACAAAATTGCGACTTTCAGTTGGGAAAATATCAAGGTCACTCTTCGAAAAAAAGATCAAGATGTCACGTGATCAAAATTTTCAAAAATCGAAAATCCGAGATAGCCAAAACGTTCGCTGGTTGATTGCAAGTTGAACCGTATAAAGTTTTTACCATTGAAAACCAATAGTTTCATAGTTATAAGCCGCCAAACATAGGGTTGCAGCGTGACCTCCAGGAATTGCCTGAGGCTATATCTCGGAAACCGGTGTTCGAAGAAAAAAATCCTTGGCACAGCTGGCTTCTCCGCCCATAACAACCCATTAGACCAATTTTAAGCAAAAAATAAAATATAAGGGTGTACGGCTTTGGTCGATCTATCGTGGAATGCCCCTTGTGCAAGTCCTATAACACATCCCAACATATCTTTAAAGTGAGGGGCATATTTCTTATTGTCGAATTTTCGTGCTTCGCAAATCGGCCTCTACACTGTAATTATATAACTAACGTAAAAATGTCCTGCAATAATTGAATACAAATGCACTTCAAGCTGACGGATGTTCACGATGCCAGAGTATTCTGGATTCGTGGGTCTTCACAGTTGACAATTCACTTAATAACTCTGTTTCTTTCAGGGAATTATAGCTGCCTTGAGGCCAAGTTTTTATTGGATCGTAATTTTGGTTATCACTTGGTGCAATCATATATTCCTTCATCTTTAATCGTCGTTATCTCGTGGGTAAGTGACGCATTCACAGCCACACTATCCCAATCACCTAGCTCCTTGCAGGTATGCATGCAAACTTCATAAAACTTTTCCGCAGGATGGCTGTTTTTGTGCGAAGTTTTCATTATAAGTTCAAAAGAAGAAAATGACAAAAACCTGACGTGAAATTAATTTCAGGCTCACCACTAACTTTTCCAGTGGGATCTGAAGATGTGCGACGTTGCTCTTTTTTAAATTAAAATCATTCCACCTGACTCCGGCGACAAAACACGAGAAATTCATCATCAATGTAACATGAGTGTTGCTTACGAATGGCACGTATCAAGTGCATTCCTCTCTCTCTCTCTCTCTCTCTCTCTCTCTCTCTCTCTCTCTCTCTCTCTCTCTCTCTCTCTCTCTCTCTCTCTCTCTCTCTCTCTCTCTCTCTCTCTCTCTCTCTCTCTCTCTCTCTCTCTCTCTCTCTCTCTCTCTCTCTCTGTCTTCCCCTCTCTCTTTCTCTCATCTTCTGACGGTGTAAGCGTGTGCCAGTGCTCGTGTCTCGACCCTACTCCCCTCATTAGCCGTAATGCAATTACCATCCGTTGTCTTCAGATGTATTATGGTGCTACCGGCTGATGTCAGTTTTGGCTACGTTAGGCGTCGCTCTTTTACGAGTGATGTCTCCAAGAAATTTTGGTATGGTGACTGATAGTTTGAGTAGTTTGAGCCAAGTGTGGTTCCGACCAATTTCATGTAATGGTAATTACCGGCGTGGCTCGTTTTTCTTGCAAAGTTTTTTACTACAATTACCGTTTAGTGACATATGCCATTGTTAGTCCCTAAAAAGCACCGTTTTATGTCGAGTGTCATGTAGGTAATATCCGCCGCCGCTTGGTGTCAGTTGTCATGTCATTGTCATCTGGTGTCTCCAGGTGTCATTCTGGCTAGACGTGGATGCCATTCCGTCTCGTGTCACGCTCGGCGTCACGACTCTGCTCACCATCTGCTCAGAAAGCTCGGGAAACACGGACAAAATGCCCCCAGGTCAGTACATAACTAAGACCCGAGAGCACGATCCTGCACCGCAATCATCCGGATAGGTCAGCTCCAGTGTCACAATTTCTACTGGTATTGGAAAAGTGCACTTCCATGATGTAGTTTGCTGCAATAACTTTGTGAAAATGCCATGGTTATTAAGTATGGCCAATTCTAGTTACTTTTATGTTCTTGGTATAATATAGGTAATTAATGCTTTTTAGTTTTATAAGCTAAAGTTTAGGCGTTTCAGGTATGGTCCAGGTATGTAGGGTGAAAGGAAATTTTGGGAAAACTTGGGAAAAGGCTCCCGTTCTATCTTTTGGCTAAAACTGTGAATGATCCGGCCCCGTGTCTCAAGCAAACAGGTTCAGAAATATAATTCATCTTCTGCATTAAGTCGTCCAACGACTGCCGTCAGTTCATTATTACTGGACAGCGCTGGCTGCCTTCGCGACATTTAATCAACCACTAATCACTTCAAGTCTGGCCTCAACCAAAATCAATAACACCCTCCAACGCAATCTTGCGATGTGTCGAACATGATTCAATCAGGCACCGGCGGAGCCATTGTGTTTCTATTTACTCTCATCAGTGGCGCCTTGTTCATCATGCGGCCGGATCATCCATAAGCCGTCTCATTCTCCTGGGAAATGGAGCGGCGGCTGGAGGAGCGTCAGCCGGTGATAGAGAGGCTGCTCGGGCCCGAGGTGGGTGTCTGTGGCCCGCCGCCGCCGCCGCCGCCGCCGCCACCGCCGTCCGAGTGGAATCGATAGCTCCAGCGGACCGGCTGGGGTCTGCCCGGTGACTCCACCACGCCCGGGGAGAGGAGCGGGACGGAACCACGTCCCTCGGGAGACACCGACCCGAGTCCGAGTCCCTCACACAGTCGCCGGGTCGTGTTGCTGTCACGTAGAGAATGGGAGAGGGATGGACTGGAGGTCACGGATCGATTGGAGGCGGGTCACGACAGGTCACGGATTCAACGGGACATACGGAAAGTGACAGATCACTGCGTGGTACCGGAGTATAATGTTATTAAATGGAATCTGCTGCTGAAGAGTGAACACTGATCAGTGCTCCTGCTACTGGTGAATGAGATTGAAACCGCAAAAAGCTCAGGAATATTCAGAAGACAAGCTTTTCACATTACATTACTCGCTCAGAGACATTCGCATTCCGCTATATTTTATAGAAATGGGTGAACGCAGAAGTTCATTTAAGCATTTTCAGATTCCATTCTGTGCAATGATTTCCCTGGCGACGTGAACATAATGCATATTTTACGACATCTCGAGCCGCCGCTGGTGGGCGAATTTAATAGCCAGCCCACCCGAGATGTGCCTGGCACGGCTGCTGCCTCGCTTCCTGAAATGGAACCCGGGCGAAGCCCATGAGCTAAACGTCAGCTGCGAAACCGCTGAACATTTGCACGGCCTCGGCCAGCTCGGTGCCATTTCTGGAAGCGCTGCCATCACCACCTGGCATATGCAGACTTTCAGAATGACAGATAGCGGAGCGAGATGTCAGCGAAATGTGCCAACTTCGGGAGTTTCGAAGCCAGTTTATTAATAATTCGGGCTAACTAGTGTACTTACTAGAGATGTCAACTGGATATCAACTTTTTGGTATACCGATACCAAACCGATACCAACTTGGTATTTGGTATTTCATTCCTAATGTACTCGGTATTTTGTTGGTATTATGAACCCTCATTTATGTATAAGAGGCTGAGAATTCGGTTAAAAGTCGGTATTTTCCTCATGCTATGAAGTTGGTTCGGTATCGGTATTTCTTCACCGTTTATGTTGGTATTTGGTTTGGTATCGGTATTCAGATGTTGTGTAATTGACATCACTAGTACTTACCACACAAGTGTCATCAATTATTGACCGTACTTCCTAGTATACATTTACGCTTCGTTTCACACATATGCTTTCTTTCTTCACACATTTCTGTTTGTGTTTGTGTATTTCAGTGTCGTATATGAAGGCGCTGGACATCTGGATGAGCGTCTGCACGGCGTTCATCTTCACGGCGCTGCTGGAGTTCACGTTGGTGAACCAGCTGTCGAGACCGAGGCGCCAGATGGTCTGCTGGGTGATGCACGTGACCAAGGGCGTGCCGGAGCGACAGCTGTACATGCCCGACCTCTGCGAGGACTGGTGCATCGTCCGACAACAACTGAAGAAGGTGAGATGGGAGGGATGATGAGGTTAGGTCGAAGTGAGGTGAGTTAGAGTGGAGGTGAGGTGAAATGAGATAAGAAGGTGAGATGATTGGGTGTAAAGGCTGCCCACCGGCGCTCCGCGCCGGCACACCAAAATCTTATAGACGACCATTAGCTATTCGTCTGTGTTTGTGTGGTCTCAGGCTCTCATCGCCTTTCTGATAGATTTAGAAGGCGTAGCCATAGAGATCTTATATACATATGTATATAAGATCTCTATGGGCGTAGCGCCCACTATCTTGAGTTTATGGCATAATCATTACGACCTTGGTATATAAATCCTTAGTTCTATTTCACTTCTTCAACTTTTTTCTGCTCTCCTATTTTAAGCTAAGCTCTTTCATAACTACGTAGTTTCATTTGAGTCGGAGGGCATATTTTATCAGGCTGAAACCCTGGGATTATTCAAGCAAAACGGAGGCGGCACCAGAGGGAAGGACGCGAATCAATTCACTTCGCTTGAATATGTAATCCAGTCAAATTCAGTCAATTTAGCTGTCGCTTTGATTTGATGCAATCCATATTCAACAGTTCACGTTTTGTGACAGAGAGCTGGGAATATATCCAGCTCCACTGGGATATTCGCACTACATGCAAGCGCCATCAGCAATGTCAACGAAGGCGGGCATAATCAGCGAGCGATGTAAATGAGATGATGCAGCGTGCATTAGAACACCGACCGTATGTGGGTGCAGTGTTTGCTATGATGGCAGACTATGTATCATATGTAGCGGCAATAGCTAATGGTCACTTGTGATAAGCGTAATGGATCACATTCCATCTCTACTATCATAAAACTCAACTTATGCAGAGCCAGCAAACGCTCGATCACAGAGGCAGACAATACCGTAATCGTCATGGACGTCAATTAACATTAAGAATCAATATATTTGCTTTCGGCAGAAATTGTATGGGTGAGCGGTCATCCACGATTGCAGGCTGCAACGTAATCAAGTCGGCTATTGTGAAAAAGTGACGTTTTTTTTGGTGTGTGTGTGCTGTCCATTGATGAGCAGGATAAGACTTAAAAGATTCGTGATATAAATGACCTCCCACTTGTCCAACATGTTACGCACAATGTGCTCGTTCGGTGACTGCTGGTCGGACTGATGAAGCCACGCTCGCACACACTTCTACGGCTCACCGCCCTGACCCGCTACCCCCTTGAATCCTCAGAAGCGGGACGACATGCCCAGTCTGACCATGCAGCTGGTGGACAGCGGCAGCGCCGGCGGAGGCCCCGAGCTAGCCGTACCCGAGCTGGCCGGTCGCCGCTGCTACTGTCAGCGACGGATGTCTGCCGCCGGGTGGATCGACCGCGTCAGTCGGCTCGGCTTCCCCCTGGCCTTCTGCGCGTTCGGCGCCTTCTACTGGACACACTACAACAAGTAGAAGCCATGATATAATCCTATTAGAGACACTACAACAATTGGAGACCCGGATAGACACACTCTAGCTATCAGAAGCCACCTATTAGACGTACTACAGCAAGTAGAGGCCACTGGCCAACCAAGACTTCTCTGGACGGTGGGACACACCACAGCAAGTAGAGGATAGGGATACTTCTACTGGACGACTACAACACGTAGAAGCCATGAGATAGGTACTTCTGTTGGAGACACTTTAATGAGTAATGGCCTAGGAGACTTCCAGTGGACACACTACAGCTAGTACATTGAAGCTCATGAGGCTTCTACTGGGCACACTATACACTTATACAGGGAACAGGTGTAAGCCACGATGTTTTACTTCTACTTCTAGTGGAGACACTAAAGAAGTAGAGGCTCACAGAGGCTTCTGATAGACACACTTTGGACACACTATAAACACGTAGAGGCTCATATGAGAGTGGACTCACTATGTACAGCAACTTCATAGAAGCCACGGCGCCTTTGACTACTGGCTTCGACTTTGGTTTGGCTTCTTGATAGAACTCGAGTTATGGACGGCGACATCTTTGTTAATAGTTAGTTCCACGGTTGAATTACAGCAACATATAAATTTTAGGAAGAAAGTTTCGATAAAATTAGCGTTCAAATTACAATGCAGCATAGCTAAAGGAGTTCTAATGCTTCACAGCCTTCTCTAAGACTTCCGGATGAATTGCTTAAAATATACTTACTTTAAAAGATACACCACCCGGACCAGTGCCAAATTGATATATTGCTGAACAAATTTGATGCTTGGTAGTGATCTTTTTATTGATCAAAGGAACTTATTTTAGGTAGATGCACAGGAAAAAGTAAATAAAGTCTATATGGTGTATGTCGTTACGAATGTAGGGGAAAGTGGGGTAAGACGGTCAGGGTAGGTAAGACGGGCACCCCTTCTGCAGACCAAACCAATAGCGCTACGAGCAAGAAAAGTTAGGACCAGAATTGCCTTTCCCACTACACACCACCATTCAAGTCTGGTGAATTTGTGTTCAGTCGATAATCTTTTATTTTGATTTCTTTAAAACACTCATTTCATTGAAAACATCCATAATGTATTGTGCAAGCTTTTGTGTACAGCACTATAGAGTTAAAAACTCGCAATCACTTGTGGTACACTCATATGCCAACAGTGTTCATTTACGGCGGATTTGCTTTGTCTGCATCAAATTGTCCACAGCGAAAAATCGTGCTGAACTTCTGACATTGAGTTTGGGGTAAGACGGGCAACTATGAACCCAATGGGTCTGTAATGGTGAAAATATTTTTGTTGCTGTAGGAAAAAAGAAGCATTTCTAATAAGAATATGTTCGATTCCGATACTCACAGACATGTTAGCAATATTCCTTCGGCACAGTTTATTCTCGAATAATGAATGTGAAAAACGGTTCTACATGGCTTCTGAACTAGGGCCTATATAGGAGCATACGCCTTCTGCACGAATCTCGTATACTGCCATTTCCGAAGCACTTGAGACCAACGAGCGACTGTATAAATGCGGCTAATCTCGGGCATTTGTTGCGAGCTGCGCTGATCGGTGAAAGAAGCTGGCCGTCTTGCCCTACCCATGTGACCGTCTTACCCCATGGGGTGGGGTAAGACGGGTTTTTGCAAGGTTTTGCAAAAATAGCTGCAGTTTATTTGTTGAATCAGGTCTAAGTCTCATCTTCTGGCAAATGAAAGTAAAATGTCTGAAAAAGGTTTTCACCCAGTTTCCCGTTTCTATGATGTTTCTAACCGGCCGAAAAATGGCTCCAAAGTTAAGGTGCCCGTCTTACCCCACTTTCCCCTAAACATTTGCTTTGCTGCTTTTATCTTGGGTAGTAGACTTTACGGTGGACTTTAGCTAATACGACTACATAAAATAGGCAGACTTACATGTTCATATTTTAAATATTTATCAGTGAAGTATGGTCATTTTTTCAATGTCATTTGCACACAACTTTCGGTGGTCTCACATTGGTATGTATTTCCTTTGCAATGTTGCTATTTGGAAGTAAGTGTATTGCAGGTGTACACGAAATGAACCCAGTAACTACGTCGAAATCAGCAAGTAGGTTCTAGGAACCATTATAAACTTTACACTATGGTTACAAATGTAGATCAATAGCTGTACATGGACAATGGACATCCATAGAAACCGCATAACATACCTACTCCAACCGCGGGATGTTGGTTATAAATAGATTTTCTTTTATATGTATTCAGAGGAGAAACGCACACCAGTCTATTGTATAATATACGCGAATACTTTACTTCAATAGATCGCCGATATATGATGTATGTAACATGATAGTATTGCCAACCCATTAACCCTCACTATTGTTGTGCTAACTGCTATGTCATCTGTCTATGAGTGAAAGAAATGCACTTTTACTGCTTGAACGCTAAACCCTCTTACCCGTATTATCATTCATCAGTTTGCTGTCCTTATAATCTCTGTTCGAAACTCATGCGTGTTGGTAAACATTCCAATTTAGCGATGTAGCATATTTACAGCCGTGCTCTGATCCACTTGTTGACTTGATATCCGTGATTAACAGTTAACGGTTGCATTAGCAATGCACTTGGCAGCTGCTCATGCATTCGGCTTTGCGACATTGCGTTGATTTATTGTGTGTGATTCAGTGTCCATTGTCCAATACATTTGAATTGATATTTCATTGGCATTATATAGTGCTTAATCTGGAGAATAAAAAGTGCTTTTCCCCTAAATATGTCACCGTCAACTGTTAAGTGACCTTGCCATCGCACGCGGATGTACAGATCTCGCGGGTTTTAGCGGTAGGTTTTGCACCTATAAAATTTAGTGTACTTCAGGCTATATCCTCGACGTCTAAACCCGCGCCCCACTGGGGTCTGCGTATAACACGCCCTACTGGGGGGGGGGGGGGGCTATTCATAGCCCCCCTCCTAACTCCGAAACTACTGGGCCGATCGTCAAAATTCAAACGGCGTCTGATAGCCCCGGAAAAACTGTCGAGCGAAACATAATTTCATTGACCTCGAGGTCGCCGATGACGTCACAGGTCAGGTCAAAGTAAAAATTATTAGCATTTTGGCTTCTTCACGTTTTGGGCTCTGGCCGCCGTCTTACAAGTCAGATCAGGCTCATTTTTGGTTCACACACTCGTGAACAGATGCTCTAGATACTCTGAGGGTACCAAACTTGTACTTTGATTTTCAGATCAAGGTCAGGTCATCACAGGTCACGAAAATATTATATCATCCGTCGGTCACGTGACACATGTTTTATGGTCCATTTAGGCCAAAAATTTCGAATTTGATGTCGTCTGTGTCATTCGAGGTCATTTTGAGTCAAATTTAGCTTAACCCTATTCCTGGCGGGCTCCGCCGGGACAAGAAACTGGCGGGGGGGCCGATTCGGCCCCCCTTCAGATCTCAAAAACTACACATCGCAGCGACAAACGGTAAACGGCATCGGATACGCACGGTCAAGATCTACAATTTTTACTCAGGTCATTTTCAGGTCAGGTCAAAGATGACGTCACAGGGGTCGAAAAAGTCAAAATGGCGGCGCTAGATATGGAGAGAGTTTTTCTCGAATAACTTTCGAATTAGTCAAGATAGGAACAAACTAATGGCGTCATCGTGATCCTCTCGTCAATCCGCATCGAATGATATATATGTTGACCTCGAAAGGTCAAGGTCAAAGGTTGACCTCAGGTCACGTGACCTCGAGGTCATCATGTATATCATTCGATGCGTCTTGACGAGCTGAACACAATGAGACCATCCACGCGTCTGTATCTTGTTCCTGTACGGAGTTATTGGCCAAAAACCTTTGGTGACCTTTGATGACGTCACATGACCTCACAGCTGCCCAACAGCAAAACAGACCTCAAGGTAGTGAAGGTTGATCGTATATGAAGTCATGTATGGTATATGGGGCCATTCCGACCCGTTTTAGTGGTAAAAACAGGGAGTTGATTTTCCCCCTTTGACTTATAATGGGGAGGTCGCGAAACTGACCTGACCTTAGGTCACCGATATCAAAATTCCGAGATATACAAATTGCACATACTGGTACCCTAACTAAAGCCTGAAGAGAAGAAATTGATCGGTCAAAAACTCTAGCTCTGGCGTGATTGCAAACTTTTCTGAGGAAGGGTCACCAAACCGCCTCTGGTGACCTGACCTGAGGTCAGATCAACTCAATATTTTCAGACATGTTGCGTAGAAGCCTTTTAGGAAAAGTCAGAAAATTTGAGCTTCCTAGCTCAACGCGTTTGGGAGAAATAACCAAAAAACCTCAGAGGGGGGCTCCTGAGGCCCCACCGCCAGGAATAGGGTTAAGTCAGGTCACTTTCAGGTCAAAAAAGGTCAAATTTTGAAGCTAAATTTTTTCAACAAAAAAGGTGTCTATTGGATGCAGTTTGAGCTCAGGAACACGATGGTGCTATTTATATTGGCGTACGATGTCAAATTCGTGCTGAAAAATTGATTTGAAAAATTAATAATTGTTAATTTTTTGCAATAATGCGTATAACTTGGCCATTTTTGAAGATATTTAGCTAAAACTTGCTAGAGGTACTCATAATAATGCGTTCTATCACATATACCTATTCCGTTTTTTTTTCGAAAAGTAAAAAAAAAAATTGAAAACATGTAAAAATATAAATTTTGAATTTTATAATATAATTTTCGAAATTTTCAAAATTTCGAAAATCCGAGATAGCAGTTTGATAGCGCAGTCTATTCTGAGTCCTCTCATGCAAAGAAATTGGATCTAGTTTCAAAACTGAGCTCTTGGGAGCGATTGCCGTGGTTCAATGTTTTGCGTCGAAATCGGCCGAACATGACGTCATTCTGACGTCATTTCCGGTCGACCTATGGTAGGTACGAAGTTCAAATTTTGACACAAGGTGTCAAATTGATGCAGCCGAAGGTACTGAAAGTTTGGCGTCGATACGTCAAGCGGTTTGGAAGTTATTGCAGAAAAACGGGAGGGGGGGTGTTTGAACACCCCCCCTTGTGGTTTTTCGCGAATATCTCAAAAACGGCGGCGCTCCGCGCCGCCGTTTTTGGTACACCTTATCGTACATCAATTCTACACATGTTGTAAAAATTTCAGACCAAGGTCATTCAAGGTCAGGTCACCAGGTCACTTGAAGTGACCTCACCTCATAAAAGTTTCAATGTCTGTCATAGCTGCACCGAGTGACCGATCGCTTTGAAACTTTCAGCGATTGCTAAGAGCAATAGAATGTACAAAATGTATGTATCAGAATTTTGATATCGATGACCTAAGGTCAGGTCAATTTTGCGACCTCCCCATGATAAGTCAATGGGTGAAAATTGAAATGCGCCTCTTTTGGACAAAAGACATTATAAACACTCCCAAACACCGAATTACAAGTGGTTTAGACACACTGAACATGAAAATGGTGTCGTGACCCTTGTTTATGCCCTGAGGTCATCTTAGGTCACGAATGGTATCTAACAGTTTTTCGCAAATAAATTTTGATAGAGGCATGCTAGAGCGATGAAAACGCCTTACTTAGATGTGTTCAGCTCGACGATACGGATCGACTGATATGCAACATGACCCTTTCCGGTCAGGTCATGACCTTGACCTGAGGTCAAATTTTCAAGTTGACCTTTCAAGGTCAAGTTATAGTTCATTCGATGCGTCTTGACGAGAGGAACACAATGCCGGTAAAAGTAAATTCGTACAAGGCTTGGGTCAAAAGTTATTGCAGAAAAACTGTTTCCGAAAAAATCGGCTATTTTTGCAATTTTTGCCCCCTGCAGGCAAAACCGTTGACGATAGGTCAAATCTGAGAGGATTAATCAGAAAGGGCTTTAATAGGGCTATCGA